CATCCCCGCCAACTCCATTGCTCTGCAGGTTCAGGAAAGATACAGAACCGTTGAGCTTTTGAGGGTGAAATTGTTATCAGTGACATTGTTATCAGTGATGTCATCGAATTGCTTGGTAAAATGTGGCTTTCTCCTCTCCTAAGTTTCCCAGTTCCCTAAGTTTCTTCTTTCCTTAGGGCTTGATGCTCATGATGACGCCTATCTCTCTTAGCTTGACAACTCGAACCTGTTCCCTGCCTTCTTCCCCCACCTTGGTTTTCTAAGCTAAATTATTTGAAGAGACAAAAGATGTCTTAACCGCTACCCCCCTCTCTCGCCCCGCCCTTCCCCAACCAATTCCTGACCTCTTTCTCAGCAGTTTTCACCCAGTGTTAGAAACAGTGGGTTCAAATCACTAAATTTCCTTCCTTATATTCAACACATTTTTATAAGCTTAGATTTAAAAGCCCTAAGAAGTTTTTTTTTTTTTTGGAAGCTAAGATCTAAACAAATTCTGTAATCCTTCTCATTACAAATTGTGGAAAGGGTTGAATTAAAGTATCCTGAAACCCTTGTGTTTTCCAAGCACCCAATTGTGGAAAGGGAGTAGGGTTTTTTTTTTATAAATCTGATGGTTAGCTGTTTAACATAACCATATAAATTTTATTTAAATAAAACTAAACCCTAAAGAGGAGGTTAAATGTACATTTTTGCTTAATTGTCAAAACTAACAAAATACGATTTTAATATTTATGAGGAGGAAAACAGTTAAAAAGCTCATTTTAAAAGGCTTCCTTTTTTTTCTCTCTCTCTTCCTTTCTCCCTTTTTGTGTGTATGCCAGTACTAGCGCTTAAACTTAGGAGCGCCTCTCTTTTTTTTTTTTTTTGCCCAAGGCTCTGCTCTACTTTTTGAGGCATAGCTTTACTTCTGTCTTTTAGGTGGTTACTTGGATTTTGTCTGCCCAGGCTTACTTTGACCCATGATTCTCAGATCTCAGCCTTCTTGAGTAGCTAGGATTACCTGTACCCAGCTAGAACTCCTGTCAAATACAGAAAGACAGAGTGTCTTTATGTATATATGTATATACATATACATTTGTCTTTGTGTGTGTATACACACACATATATATCACATATATATTCACACATACATATATGGGTTGAAAACTAAAAGTAGTATATTCTGTAATCGAGTTCTGTTCTTAAGAAAAAAAAAACTCAGTGTGAATTCACTGGAAACTTATACTAGAAAGGGAGTCATATGTCACAAAGTTCTTAGAATATTCCTCATTGAAATTTCACAGATGTGTAGAATTCTGAGGCCAAGAAGAATCATTTGCTCTTGCTTTCAGCAAAGCGGACTCCCTTCTCCCTTTCCCACATGCCTCCTCCTCCCTCCCCCCTCTTCCCTCTCCTTAATATGGCTTCTTCACACTGATTTCTAAAGCACAAATCTGGTACAGAGCAACATCCACCAGAAACTTAAAAATGTCTGTGACCATGAGTGGATTTTTAACTTGAGAAGCAGTTCAAAGGTAAGCAACAGAAAACAATAAGAATGCTATTTTAGAAACATGTGCCTTGCCTACATTTTAATATTCTGTACACACCCTCCCACCCTCCCATTTCCTACACCTGTCTATATTTGCTGAGAAAGAAACTTGGCTTTCAATGGCCATCTGGTTGAGTAGGCCCAAAAGGCTGAGCTCCACGAATTAAGCATTATGGTGGATTTATTTTCATGCAGTTATTTCTGTATTTTATTCATCTTGGTCAGTTTTTCAAACTTGTAGTGCAGTATGAAATTCAAAAGCCTGTGGAGAGTACTTGCCTCACCTGAGATAACCTGCCCTCTCCTTGTCTATGTCTGATGGTCTGTTTCCTTGCTGCTGTCTCTGTAATCTTGTGAAGTTTTGATTTACATGTGGCAACCTATTGCCTCCAAATATTCATTTTATAGTAAAATATAATGGAGAGAGTTTTGAGGTTGGAAGGGAGAAACTTTTATAGGTAGTTTTGAATTGGAAGGTAATTTGTGAAGTTAGAAGTAACCCACTAAGTTATTCAAATAGTGTTATTTCCTACCTCTTTAGACAAAAATTATTTCATGCCTTCTGATTTAGAAGGCTCTTAAATTAACACCCCTAAAGCCACAATACATTAGCTAGCTTTGCTAGGTTAACTTTGAAACCAAAATATATCATCCAAGTGGACCTAGGGATGTGCTCTTCAGTGACATTAGCATATTCCCATTATGAATCCTTATGTTCTCTGCCTGATTAATATTCAGACAGGCTTCTCTTTCCCACAGTAGCAGAAGGGGTTCATATTTTTGTTTTTAAAATCATGATTTTTTTTCAAAAATGAGTGGGAACAGAACTTCCACACAGGTACAAACTTATATGAAAAGTTTAAATGTGATCTTATAAAACACAGTCCTACAAATGACTATAAAAATGCTCAGTGAAAAAAATGCTTAGTGACACAACTCAGGTTTGGCTTATAGGCTGCAGGTTGTGTGTGTGTGTGTGTGTGTGTGTGTGTGTGTGTGTGTAGTTTCACACTGATTCTCCAAGACCAACTTTCTGTACTTTAGAGAAAATGATCCCCAAGGAACCAACAAAAGTTTTCTCCATTGTTCAAAGAGAGACAATAAACTTGGCAAGATTTCATAACTACCAGACAAGAGACACTGAGTCAGGGACAATCAGACTCTGCCAATATCTACACCACCAAACCAAGCAGAGGAAGGAAGGAAAGCCACTGAGTACAGACACCTTGAGGGTTAGTCATCTGTCTGTCTTGCCCTGCTTTTTCCCCAGAGCCTAGAGCCACTCTAGGCTCACACCAAAGTCATTAAAATACGTGTGTGTGTGTGTGTGTGTGTGTGTAATGATAAAGCAAGAGCTTTACTGGACAAGGAGTTGTGGGGGCTTTGGTGACCTTACAAAGGAGGTCATGATGAAGCAATGCTTAACTTTGGGAGCTTGAATATTATAAGTTTAGACCACACCAACCAGAGTTTCATGTTTTTATTTTGGGGTGTGTGTGTGTGTGTGTGTGTGTGTGTGTGTTTCTGTGTTTTAGTACTGGGGATTGAACTCAGGACGCCAGGCTCTCTCCTACTGGCTCTCTCTACCACTTGAGAGAGCTTCCACTTTTTGCTGGTTAATTAAAGATGAGTCTCACCGATTTGTCTGTCCAGGCTGGCTTTGCACTGAATCCTCAGATCTCAGCCTCCTGAGCAGCTAGGATTATAGGCGTGAACCACCAGCCCTCAGCTAGAGTTTCACTTCTTGAAAGCATCCTCTGACTTCTTTCCCTTCCATATATGGAGCCTCCAGCAATCTGTCCTCAGCACAGTCACTTCACTCTCTGTTCTCACCACGGTTATTAATAACTTCCTGGAAACTCTCTCAGCATCTTTGGATTGGCACCCACCTGCCTCCTGGGCTGCTTAGAGGGCTCCTGTTCCTTACATTTTTTTAATGACGCAACAGTTTTGTCCCTTGACCATTTTCTCTTTGCAATACCTTGTCTGCTTCCCTTCAGCTATCCACCAGTATGTGTCAGTGCCCAAATTGTTTCCTCTCTCATCAGTTTCAGAACCTTCTGTCCACCCACTTGCTTAACAGCTCCACTTGTGGTAACCCAAGCACCCTAAACTCTGCAGTTTGATGAGCAGGTTTTTGGTTTTTTGCTCACAATGCTAGTTCCTCCTTGTGTTCTGAAGAGAGTATTGGCATCAACCATTAAGAGATACTCAAGCCAACAACGTGGGCAGCTTCCTAGATAGCGAGATTTCTTTCCTGAGAAATCTCACTAATATATCATAGGATGGGCACTAGCACAGGACTCTCAGGGTTCAAATCCCAGCTCTCCACCTACTAGCTCCATAGTCTTGAGCAACAAAGACTTTAGGTCTTTGGGCCTCGGTTTCCTCACCTGCAAAATAGATAGACCATGCCTGTCTTCCTAGTGTTGTTAAGACGGAATAAGTTAAAATGTGTGGATGGCTTAAGGAAAGAGGTCCTGGTACTTCCATAAGCTCTGCCCTCTGCATCTTGTCTTCCCTGTCTTCCACCTCAGCCCCTTTTCTGATCATCATCATATCTGAATGGCTAACATATATTCCAGTGGCATTCTCACTTCAAGTTCTATTCCACCCCCCCCCACCCCATCCACAACTGTGGGTCTTTGAAAACCTCCAAATAGAACCTTTCAGTAAAAGGATAACATTTCCAATCATAATCTTCAAGGCCCTCCATAAGCGGTGCTGCTGCCACACCCCCAACCCTTCTGGTACTGCCTTCCCTCTTCCCCTGTCCTGCCGCCCACCTCCCATTCATGGCCTGAAGCCTTTACACCTGCTGTCTTCTCTGGCCCACTTCTTCCCTAGCTTCTGTCTTATCAAGCCCAGTACCGTTTCCTAAGGGAAGTTGCCCAACCCCTCCAGACAAGTTATGGGAACCCACAACAAAGAACCCTATCTTTCTACTCGATGGCCCTTATTGACTGTTAGGGTTCACTCATCTAATGTCAGGCTGCAAGCAACTCAAGGGCAGGGACCGAGTCTGCCCTACCAGTTGTTGGACAAGTGCCTAGTAGTGCCTAATCTGTTGCATCCATGAATTTAAGCAACCCAGAGCTTATCTATCGGGTCATTGCTAACCTAGCTAGGGCCCAGGGTTTGCTTTCCCATCCTGTGGTGGATCTGCTTCGGAGCCAGGTGTCTGTCAGCCTGACTCCTTGTGAAGAGGAGGAAGGGCTCACTGAAGCTGGCTGATGGGGTGACTGCGTTATTTATGCCTGGAACAGGAGGATTGTAAGGGCTGTAACGCCAACTCAAGTAGCCCCTTCGGTCTGAAAGGCGCATCTGTACCTTTCAAACAATGGAGATCGGATTAATAAGAGAATAAAAGCAATTATACTCAATGAACTCTGAATACAGGCAAAGCCACAAAGGAGTCTGTCATAACACAATTCTTTTTCTTTCCAATGCAGGTCGGGGATTAAGAATCATGTTGCATGAAGCAAGGGACAGGCAGAAGTTTGTCAGTGATGTTCAGTATCTTCGGGACATGCAACATAAGGTGGACTCTGAATATCAGGTAATTGCAGAATGCAAGATTTGTCTCCCAGCATTAGCCTTCAGAATGCAGCCTGAGTTTGTGATAAGCAATCAACATTTTCTAAAACCTCCCAACCCACCACTTGCTAGTTGGAGTGACCATGGAAAGTCACTTCACCTTTCTTTCTTTTTTTTTTTTTTTTGTCGGTCGTGGGGCTTGAACTCTGGGCCTGGGCACTGTCCCTCAGCTCTTCAGCTCAAGGCGAGTGCTCTACCACTTGAGCTACAGCGCCACTTCCGGTTTTCTGGTGGTTTATTGCAGATAGGAGTCTCACGGTCTCTCCTGCCCGGGCTGGCTTTGAACCGCGATCCTCAGATCTCAGCCTCCTGAGTAGCTAGGATTATAGGCGTGAGCCACCAGCACCCGACACGTCACCTTTCTTGAGTCTCAGTGTCCTCATCTGTAAAATGATATTGTTTAACAGTACTCACTTCATAATACTATCATGAAAACTAAATGAGATAAACCTTTTTTTCTTTTCAAAGTGTTTGGCACACAGACATTGGCCACAAATGACATTAAGGTTCCAATATGACAGACCAACCAAGAAGTTCATCCACTAAGAGGTTAACTTAGTTATCCCCACCATTTATAAAACAGCCTTCTCTTCTGTTGTCATGGGTCTCTCCCTCCCCCAAGAAAGGTGGCAAGTACATTGGACAGGAAGCTCAACTCTTCGTCTCCATGGTTACCATATTTACATGCAAAAACAAACGCAGCCCTAGCGCCTGCAGGGTCATGATGCGATTACCTGGGGCTGGCATAGGACAAACTTGCCTGACTGGGTTGTGGGATTCTGGGAGCAGATGGAAGGTGTCACTCAGCACCCTCCTGCCAGAGGTCGGCTTGGCCTCCGAGGTCTGTCAGCCCTCACCAATCAAGGAGGCACGTCCTCCTGAGCCTTGGTGGAGAATCAAAACGTGCTCCGTCTCTAAGGAGAACACAGATCTGCTGTTAGCAGGCTTTCTTTCCTTCCGAGCAATTTCAAATATAACCCAACCTCTCCCGGGTCACCAAGGAAACCAGACGTAGCTCTGTAACCTGACTTCACCTGTGTGATACAGGTTTACTTTGGAGCTGGAAATGGAGTCAGCTCTTTTCCTCCCACAACTTGCCATCCCACATCCAAGAAGACTAGAAAACTTCAGAAAATCTCAGTGGAGCTGTGGCTCAAATGATCAAGTGTTCCCTTGAGCAAAAGAAGGTTAAGGGACAGTGCCTAGACCCTTTCATTCAAGCCTCAAGAAAACAAAAACACATAACAAAAAAAATTATAAACCAGGCACTGGTAGCTCACACCTGTAATCCTAGCTAATCAGGAGGCTGAGATCTGAAAATCATGGTTTGAAGGCAGCTGTGCTAGAAAATCCATGATACTCTTATCTCCAGTTAGTTACCAAAAGAGTCAGAAGTGGAGCTATGGCTCAAATGGTAGTGTGCTAGCCCTGAGCAAAAGAGCACAGGGATAGAACCTAGGTCATGAGTTCAAGCCCTAGGACTGGCACCAAGAAGCAACAACAACAACAACAACAACAAATCTCTGAGGAAATCTGTAGAAGACAAACGAGAATGTCAGTATAGGAACTGGTCTCCCTGGGAGTCCATTTGCTTTTCACAAAGATACCTCTGCCAGCTGACATGGTCTTTTGGAAATAACTGTTTGAAATTGACTCTAGAGTGAATATTTAGGAAAATCAGTCTTAGCTGGACTAGGGCTGTAATCCTAGTTACTGAGGAGGCTGAGATCTGGTTTGAAGCCAGCCTAATTAGGAAAGTCTGTGAGACTCATCTCCAATAAATTATAAAGAAAAAACCAGAAGTGGCATTGTGGCTCAAGTGGTAAAACACTAGCCTGAGCAAAAGAAGCCCAGCGCCAGTGCCCAGGCCCTGAGTTTAAGCCCTAGTATAGGCCCACCTGAAGAAAACCTCACAACTCTGTGGCTTACTACCACTGCAGTTTTATTTTCTAATCTCAGTCGGGTTTTCAACACTTCCTTTTCATTCATTCAACCAATGTGTAGTTTTTGAAACGCCTACCATGTGCTGAACAAGGTCCCGTTTCTGATGAAATTCTTATTCTAAGCTTGAGAAGAAAACAGCATGCATAAGTATAAAATAGGGGTGTGTGTGTGTGTGTGTGTGTGTGTGTGTGTGTGTGTGTGTGCCACACCTGGGCTTGAACTCAGGGCTTGGGCACTGTCCTTAAGCTTTTATGCTCAAGGCTAGTGTGCCACCACTTGAGCCACAGCTCCACTTCCAGCTTTTTTGGTAGTTAATTGGAAGTAAGTGTCTCATGGACTTCTTTGCTCGAGATGACTTCAAACCATGATCCTCAGATCTCAGCCTCCTAAGTAGCTAGAATTACAGGTGTGAGATTCTGCATGAGCCACTGGCTCCTGGCAATAAGAGATAATTTTAATTATTGCTCTGGTTCAGATCTCAGTGTCTTTCAGAATCCTGTGTATTAAAGGCTTGGTCCCCAGCTTGATAATGTGGTGGACCCTTTAAGAGGTGGGGACTAATGAGAAGTCTTAGGTCACTGGAGGCATGTCTTCAAAAGGAGAGAGTGGACATTTAGGCTCACACTCTTTCCTTTTTTTCTTTTTTGTTCTTTTTCCCTCCCTCCCTACTTTCATTCCTTTCCTTCTTTCGTTCCTTCCTTCCTTTCAGCCACAGAATGGTGAATGGCTTTGCTGTAGCTCCTGCCTTAATGTACTGTGATGTCACAGGTCCAAAATAACAGACTCGTTCAGTCATAGCACTTGGTCATAGTCAAACTTCCAAAATAAAGATTTCCTCTCTCTAAGTCACCTTATCTCAGGCATTCGTTACAGGAGCAGAAAGCTGAGTAATGTAGTTTCTGGTACACAGATGAGGAAAACAAAACAGGTAGTGAGAGTAAGAGCAGTGCCCCTTTAGATACACTTCTTTTGAGGAAGCACCTTCGTCCTCAGAAGTGAAGAACAAGAAAGAGCCTGCCAAAAGCATCCCAGGAAGGAAAGCAAATATAAAGACCCTGAGGCAGGAGCTGAACAGGGGCCTTGGAGTAAACAAAAGACCAGAGTGGCTGAAAGGCATTCATCAAGGGAAGGTGTGGAGAGTGAGCTCCATAGGGCCCAATAGACAAAGCTCTGTGTATAGCTTTGATTCTTAGCACGAGAATTATTGGATGATTTTACAAGATGAACAGTGGTGTAACTTGGTTTAGGTGTGTGTGTGTGTGTGTGTGTGTGCGCGCGCGCGCTCGTGCGCACGTGCATGCATGTGCCTAAACTGAGGTTTGAACTCAGACCCTGGGCACTGTCTGGTCTGAGCTTCTTCTCAAGGCTAGTGCACCATCACTTGTAGCTTTTTTGTAGTTTTTGGTAGTTTATTGGAGATGACAGTCTCACAGACTTTCCTGTCAAGGCTAGCTTCAAACTGTGATTCTTAAAACTCGAGCCTCCAGGGTAGTTAGAAATACAGGCATGAAACACCGGTGCCTGGCTGATTAATTTTTGTTGTTATTGTTGTTTGTCAGTCATGGGGCTTAAACTCAGGGTCTGTGCTCTGTCCCTGAGTGCTTTTGCTTAATGCTAGCACTATACTACTTTGAGCCACAGATCCTCTTCAGGTTTTTGAGTGGTTAATTAGAGATAAGAGTCTCTCCGGGACTTTCTGCCTGGGCTGGTTTTGAACCATGATCCTCTAGCTATGATTACAAATGTGAGCTGAGCCACCAGTGCCCAGCTGATTGTTTTTGTGAAAGATCAATTTGGATTCTGTATAGGGAACGGACTGGAGAGGGCAAGAAAAACACAGGAAAATGCATGAGGAAACTAAGATGAAAATTTAGGAGCAAGATCATGGTGGCTTGGATCAGGTTGGTAGCATGCAAGCCAAACCTAAGATACAGAAGCAGAACAGACTTTAGGCTGATCAATGATGAAGAGTTGTGAAGGAAAGAAATAGCGAAGGATGAGACTAGCTTCAACACACTGCCTTGTCCGTCAGCTCCCTTGGACATCATCACTGTTAAACCTCCCATTCTTCTAACCTCCATCCCCCAATCTTCTAACAAGTTCCCCTCCTGTGTAAGGAAAGACCTAAGCCAGCAAGTAGAAACATAATAGACACCTCCTCTGCTGCCATCATAGGCCATACACTCGGCCAGCCCTCAAGTCTCAGGATAGAGTGACCTTCCTCCTTGCTGAGATCTTGGCTCCACCCCTCTCCTAGCTCTCCCACCTATGGGCCTCTTATCTATCATGCCTTTGACCCTCTTTATTTTTATTGACTAAGTCTACAAAAGTGTTCAAGTTCTTCCATCTTCAGAACCAAAGAACAAAGCCACCTACAGACCTTCAGCCTAGGCTACATAGCAAGACCTTGTCTCTCAAGGAAAAAGAAAAATAAATCAATTGTATGTTTCAGTGACTCCTCAGTAACTTAGATCACACATAACCAATGTGTATGTAGCTTGTTTACTAAGGCAGACTTTGCATTGGAAAGATATTGACTCTCTATGTCGTCAATGAGTTTGTCATTGGCCCCCTACTTCCTATGGAAATCCTAGCTCACTCTCCACCCCTCCTCCCTTCTCCTCTTCCCCCCATCCTTTCTTCTCTTTCCTTTTCCCTCTCTCGTTCTCAGAGAAATCATTGGCTGAGAATAGCACCCGGGATTTCCCACTTCAGCATGTGCAAGTAGCATAAGACCTAATCACTACATAGGATTCCCAAATCATAGACAATCGCCACATAGTCCTTCCTGTTCTTCACTTGCCTTTAATGAACTGGCTCAAATTGAAGCCCTCAGAAACCTCCAGTGTAAACTATTCCTGCTGCCTCCTAAAATATACCAAGGGTTGGTATGCACCAAATTAGCAGGGCTTTTACAGGTCTCTCTGCACTAGTGGCAGAGGGTCAAACCTACCCTGGTTATTTTGATACAACTTTCAGTAGCTGGGTGGGACCCTTTTGAGAAAACAAGAGGAAATA